GCATAGTGAGATCCTTTGAGTTGGTTTCAGGACTGAAAATCAATTATGCTAAGAGTCAGCTCATGGGTGTTAATGTGGAGGAAGCATGGGTAGAGAAAATGGCATACAGATTATACTGCAAAAGAAAAGATCTGCCTTTTAAATATCTGGGGATCCCCATTGGGGGGAATCATAGAAGAATTGCAATGTGGCAAAATCTGATGGAATTAGTGAAAAAGAAATTAGCTCCATGGAAAGGCCGATATTCATCCTTTGGGGGACGCATCACGATCGTTAATTTTGTGTTGTCTAGCTTGCCCGTGTTCTTAATGTCGGTCTACCTGCTTCCTAAAGGTATTCTTCATTTTATTGATAAAATTCGCAAGAGTTTTTTTGTGGGGTGGGGAAGGTGAAGGTAGAAAAATTAATTGGGTTAAATGGAAGAAAGTTTGCAAAAATAAATTATGTGGGGGATTAGGAGTGAGAGGGTTGAGGAAGTTCAACTTAGCCTTAATGGGGAAATGGTGGGGAAGGCTAGCAAGAAAAGAACAGGGATTGTGGGATAAGGTTATAGCTAGCAAGTATGGAGGGAGTGGAGGCCATTGGCTTGACTGGGTAAGGGAGGGAAGGGGAATAGGATCACTATGGTGGAGGGATGTGGGCTGTCTCAACAATGTCGATGAGGAGAAAGAAGGGTGGCTAACAGAGGGTTTTAAGTTAAAATTAGGAGAAGGGAAAGGAGTGAGCTTCTAGAGAGATAGTTGGGGTGGGGAGGGAGAACTTGCTAACCTCTTTCCAAGATTGTATATCTTGTCAACAGGAAAGGAGAAAAAATGTTGTCAAATGGGCAATGAGGAAGATGGAACATGGAGGTGGAATCTAGAGTGGAGGAGAGCCTTATTCGACTGGGAAAGAGAGGAAGCAGCAGAATTACAACGAAAGATCGATAGCATGCGGATATACAAGGACATCCCCAACACATGGAAGTGGGAGCATAGCAAGGAAAGCAATTACTCAACTAAAACAGCTTACAAATTGTTGACAAATGAACTTAATGGACTGGATGCAACTCCAGTACATAAGAAGGTGTGGAACCCAATCATCCCAAGCAAAATTTCTGCTTTTAACTGGCAGCTTTTGCAGGATAGAATACCAACAAAGAGCAACCTACAAAGAAGAGGAATAACCACTGAATTGGAAGATGGAATCTGCGCTTTATGCGAGGAGGAGGTCGAGGACTCGAATCATCTTTTCCTGAGGTGCAAGGTGGCAAAGTGGTTATGGAAGGCTTGTGGGAAATGGTGGGGGATCTCAGTTAATTTGGAAAATGATTGCTGGAAATCTTTTGAGCAGTTTGGGGTATGGGCCAAAGAAACACGAGTAAAGGAAGGTTGGGATTGTATATGGAACGTCGTGGTGTGGACCATATGGCTCGCAAGAAATCAAAAGATATTCCGAGACTCCGACATCAACAAAAGTAAGTTGCTTGACCACATTCAACTTAAGTCGTTTTGGTGGATTAAAACAAGGAAATCTAGATGCTTGTTTAGTCTTTATGATTGGTTATACAATCCAATGACATGCCTCAAAGTTAACTGTGGTAGGAAATAGGGGCTTGAACCATACTTGGATGAAAAGGTCAATATGATAGGTGGGATGGATTGAACCAATGCAGGTTGTTTAACAGGTAGCATTGAGCAACTTATTGACTCTTGTTGGCTTGTAAACAGAGTCAGTAGATGCTCAATATGTACCTATTTTGTAGCATGGGCAGGAGTACCCCTTGTACTCTATATAATAAACTATATTTGCTGTGCAAAAAAAAAAAAAAAAAGGAGGAAGGGAACCCAAGGCTATCCAAGGAAAGGACTCACCTAATACTCCTATGTCAAATGCAAAAGGTAAGTG